CACCTTATCTCTTACAGCAAGGATTTAAGCTGATAAAACCTCTTCCTTTTGATATTTTTCTAATCATTTGACGGATAGATGCAGCCATACATAAAATACATAAAAGATAATTACCTTATTTGAAAAATGTTTGCACTTCTATGGTTTTTTTTACAATATACTGAGGTTGTCCATTATTAAAAAGGTCGTCTCATTTAAAGAGACAAAATATGATCTTAACGAGCCACCATTATCCCTTGAAAAACCCAACTTAAAGCTTTTACCATTGGCAAATGTATGCTTGAGAGTATTCAACTAAAACATAATTCAATGCCTAACTTATGCTTCATATAGGATGATATTTACTAGATTGGCGTTTGAAGGATAAATTTTCATGATAATTTAACCTGTTCTGGTGTTGAATCAACATACTTGTAGAGAAGACTTATATCTATATAAAAACTGCAAGCGTTTATATCCGTTCCATTAAAAATCGGTTATAAGAATGTAAAAACTATCAATTTTGGAATAGTTGTGATAGCGGACATATTACTTTAATAAAGTACAAAACAACCTAAAAATACATTAAAAATACGTTGTTTATCAACAATCTGATCATGGCCAACAATGTACACTCTTTGTATACTTGGTAAAAATCAAATACATGACATAAAGGAGACTCAAGCCATTGCCTCCATAAAAGTAAGCATGACTAAACAAGTTGGCTAAGCTTTGCCTTTGTATTCAGAAGACCTGTAAAATTAGCGACAATATTCCTTTCGGTCAAATAAATTGTATAATGAATGTCCCTGTTTTGCTAAAACCTATGGGTAAAAAGTACAGAATACTTCATCTCCTTCTTACTTAATAACTTTTAAAGTATATCCCTTACATTTATTGCGTTATCGTTTGATGAGAAGCATAGATTGGATTTGCTCACCTATTTACTTCATTACATACTTCAGCCATGAGTATGTGCTTAATATTATTATGATTTATTCAGATACATTATCTCACCGTCACATGTGGTTCATTTACCTTCAGAGAACTTAGATAAGTGGGCTTAGTATCATATAAGCTATATTGTTTGCCTCATTGTGGATAGCTATCTTAGAATGAATTGCCTACACTTTTACTTCTAAAGGTTATTTTAATGAAGCAAGGCTTTTATTACATTAAATATATTTAGCTACAATTAGGGGATGTATCCCAGTTCAAGTAAAATTTTGACTTAGATTAGCTACTTAGTATATCTCTAAAAATGTTGCCACTAATTAAACTAATCCAGTAATCATAACAAATACAACTCATTCTGATTGTGAATTTTTTCGTTTATCTCCAAATCTATTATCTGCAATATTTTTGTTCTATCTTATGTTTATTTCTATCAAATTTGTTAAATCAAAAATGATCTAAAGCTTTTTATGGAAATGTTCATATATTATAGTCATAATAAATAATATCTGAGAATATAAATATAACTTGAAAATTAGTTCTATTCTATTATATTCCACTTACTTCTTTCTTGTGTAAGACTCATTTCACTTTGGACAAAATATAAGTATAAATTTATTAAATTATTTCCTCCTCCTTTGAATCTATTGGATTTTGGAATGAGAATTAATGGAGGCCACTTCAGATTAATGTTTATTATGTGATGCTTTAAGGGATGAAGCATAAACTGAACAATAACAACTCAATCTTATGAGATGTATTCTCCCAATTTCGCTTAATCTCATATTACTGATTTACTGGTAGTCACAAAAACAATACTTAATTAGGAAAACTCAATCTTATTATTGCATTTGCCTCAAATGTATATTTTTATCTATTTAAACTAGCATAAGGCCCAATCAAATTATATATGGGAAAATTCGGTTAATTTTTTTTATTTTCTTTAGTTTTTGAGAGTAAGCTCTTATTTAAGTAAAATTGCTGAAATTAGCTTTTCATTTAAGACATACAATTTTCCATAGAATGAAGCCTAAGCACATATGAATTGTTACATTTCAATGTTTGAAGTTATCATAATTTACCTTTAAAACCAGCTAAGTTAAACGAATTCGATCAAAATAGTTATTTTTTAATGTTATGTAATATGAATACCCAGTTGTTAGAATAAATTATCTATAACAAACGGCACTGGATATTGATATATGAAGCCGGAGATACTTTCAGGCATCAAGAATAGTATGAAAAGCTTTGTTTCAGAAATGGGAAATGTACCTAGCATTTCTAATAAAAAATAAGTAAATCGAAGTGGGTTGACCTAGTTTTCGCGACTTGGTCTTGTTGTCAGGACGATCTAGTAGAACGCACCTTGTACGAAGTCGTCTGCCATACCAATTGTCATAATTCCCAGTGTCAGACAGTGAACTTGGTACATTCTCAAACAGAAAGATTAGTGATAGTGTGACCATTTTTGGCAGAACGTTTGTCAAAGAATTGACTTCACTTGCCTCTTTGACAAGTTCGTAGCTTGGTGCGGAGAATGACAAAACTCACTGATGATGCCGACTACGATGCCAGCGAAACGTTTGGGAATGTACCAAGCCCACTGTCTGATGATGGGAATTGTGACAACTACTATGGCAGACGACTTCGAACTAGTCTCTCTGAAAACAGGACCAAGTTGCGACAACGAGGTCAACCCACTTGTATAAATCGAAAGAAGACTGCGACCATACCAAAGACCATACCATTTTGGTCTACATATAATAAATAAATAGAATTTAGAAGACTCCATGAGCAGATGGGCTTCTTAAATCAGTCTAACCACAAACCCTGTGATTTTGACTAACTAGAATTTCATTTGCGCAAAATTTACTTGTTTCTTGCATTCAAAATGCAATAAGGCTGTTCCTATCCTAGCATGACTCATTATATTTTATTACCTAATTTACCAGTTATATTCTCGTTGGATATTTATCTTGTTTTAGATTAAGTGACAAATTCACTGCTTAGGTGAACAAATTCTAGGACAGAATTTACCATTGCTCTATTTCATCATCGACAATTAACGTATTATAAGCGCAATTACTTTTCCAATAGCCTACATGCGGTTCATAGAGTTAGGAATCACAAAACATGCTAAATTTAATATTTAAATTAAATTTTAGATAGTGTGTAAAGCAAGCCATGAATTAACTTAAAATGTATATCATAAAAGGCCATACAGAAGAGATACTCTGAATAGTTTCTAGGATGGCACATTCTCAGTATTTACTTCGTAATTGGCCGCAATTATCAGGGTATGTAAGTATATATGTGCTTTTTTACAGTTTGAGGTATAAAATTATATTAAAGAGGTATTTGTTGCATTTAATGAAGTGCTTTACATCTGATCAAATTGAATAGCTTACGTAAGTCATGGTTCACGTTGTCTAAGGATTCTAAGCGTTGACAAACCGATGTTTTTCCTACTCCATCTGTACCTATTACTTGAAGTCGATAGACCACCATATCAGGTACGTCGGCATCTAAAGCCTCGCGAGATAGCGCCGCCCCTATGGGGCTACCAGGTCTATCTGGATGTCTTGGAAGTGGCAACGGAGGTGGTGCTTGTGAAGGCATTTGCAACGGTAGCAATGGCGGTCGATGACTGGCAATAGTCCGAGTCAGCTGTTTTGAGTTTGTATATCCACTTCTGTTTGTCTCACTATTTCTCAGAGAAGTTTTGCTTGAGATGCCTCCTCCTTGAGAGGCGGGTGTTGCAAAGCCAACCCCTTCTTCGGTATTAGCTCGGCGTAGTTGAGGCTTACCTGGCAACTCTAATCTGTTTCCACAATGACGGCATGGTGGTGAACTTGCCCTTTGTCTAGAAACTGCATCTTTGGAGCCAGAATTCGGCAATAATCCGTATTCTTGGCTGTGGCTAAATGTTGTGGTAGTGAACGGAGCATAGTTGTTAGTTGCGGTTGGTTGATTTAAAGGGGTATTGTCGTTAAAAGTGCCCTGGCGCAAACTGATACGACGCCGTTCATTAGCCAATCCTAGTTGGTTTGATCCCTCTTGAACTAGGAATCCTGTACCAGAGGGACTATATTGGCCGAATAAAT